TCCACCCTCCAGCGCCCGCTTATCGTTGAATTTTAGGACACGCTGTATATTGTAACAACTAAAATGTAATAACAATTTATTGATTTTTGAAGTACTGACATTTACGAGTAATATCAAAAAAATATATATTTTCTGAATCCCGTGTCTTTGTTTCGGTGGATTTTAAACCACCGAATTCAGAAAGGCTTCCACCGAAGTCGGAAAAAATTACCATCAATGCCATATTTTCGTTGAAAAGCAAGAATTTTACACATTTCTTTTATATAAATGTTTAGTTTGTATTGATTTTCACAATTGTATATTATTACTTGCTTGCCGCTGAAAATGAATAAGGAAAATCGAAACAGCAAAGAAAAATTGGAAATCAATTTATTGTCGGAACGTTCTAGAAAAACGATCCAATTATTTACGAAAGGTTTCAAGAAAATGATAGACAGAGGTATGCAAAGAAAAAGCGGAAGGAAAGATTTTGAAGTTGCATGAATTACCTCGTCATGTATAAAAAGTGATGGAAGATACAAATCGCGAAAGTTTAAAAAAATTTAGTGGTTTTGTACCCACAAAAAGATTACATTCAAAATTTTTTTTGTAAAAGAAATACGGAATGCTTTTTGTGATTGAAAACAAGCTGAACAGCCAAACTGAAAACTGATTTTAATTAATAGTCTCAATAAGGTGAAATTTGTATGAGTTGTGGCCGATTTATAAATAAATTTTAGATTTTGAAGCTCGATTTAATATAAAATTTAGGAAATGTTTATGTAGATTGCTTAATGTTTGTATTGCCTTTTTCATAATATACAAATAAGGATACAGTGAATAAAAAATCTACAAAACACAACACAATAACAAAGCAAATTAATAGAACAAATCAACAACCAAAGTAACAAAACAAAATACCAAAATTATAACGTGAATATTTCCAAAACCCAACCGAATTGCACTCCCACACGGAATACGTTATGCGTACCTGGCATGAAAAACAGGTAAAAACAAACAGGGATTATTTTGAATTAGGTTGTTTTTTAAACGCCTATGGTATTTTTAAAAGGAAATTAATGTACTTTATATTTTTGAAATTATAAAGCTAAAGAAACGGTATTTTATAGTTATTAGACACTGGGTTTTAAATATCAGTTTTATTTATATGTAATACATTATGCTAACGTAATATAATATTTAGTTTTAATAAACATATATTATATCATTACAATAATAAAAGTGTGATGTTTACAACATTCAAATTCACAGAGTGATATGCCTTAATTTAATTTATTTTTTCGGTAGCAAGTCCGCGGATGCCGCAGCATTCCAGCAGACTGTGCGGTACCCCGCCGACTTATGTTCGTAGTATCATTAAAGGATATCGCTTATCAGTGTGGGCTGGTGCTCATAAGATCCTCTTCGATGCTTTTCCCAACCGTCCCCGATTGACGTAGGCCAGTAGTGAGGAAGAAGTCGATGTATATTTATGCTACGGAATGTAAAACATGCATTTATAATTATTGAAGAAGAAACTCGACATTTGAAAATTAGAAACATGATTTTTTTTTATTAATACCATATAACGGGACGAACAAGTCGCACGTCTGTTGTAAATAACATCGTCCATAACAGTTGCAGTGCCACTAAGAACCTTAAATAGCAAAGATCTGAAGGGCACTGCCACTGTACCCGTTACCCTGAGACATAAGTTGACAAGTCCCATGTGCCTGTAATTTCACCAGCACCCTTAACCTTCACAACCGGAGCACATTAATGCTCACATTACTGCTTGGCGGCAGAAATAGGTAAGGTGGCAGTAGATACTTCCATAGACGAACTCTTTCACAAACTCTACTGATTCAATAACTACATATGTGCAATGGTAATGCATTGCATTGTAGAAATATATGAACAACGAGCTCGTAGACGTAAACGTGTTGCCCATATTTTTAACCGACTTAAAAAAAAGGAGGAGGTTCTCAATTCGACTGTATGTTTTGTTTTTGTATGTATGTTACACGATTTTCATCATTCTTTTTTGTTAAAAAAAAGAGGGTATCTTCATAGTGGTCCCATTTATTTGAAGAAAATTATCCACCTCTAAGGGTGGCTGTTCACACATGAAGATTCATTTTTATAAATAGCGCCTAAATTTTATTATAAGCAGCAATTATTTTAATGGTCGATTTTGCTGTTCGCCAATTCAAGGCGTTTTTTGCTCTCTCAATATACTTAGAGAAGTGAGAACCGATTTTTATTATATTTTAGTGGCAAACTAGGGTATGAATCCGGGTTTGCGCACTACTCGGTAACCGATTTCAATAAAACATGGTAATTATATGTAATTCCACGTACTTTTGAGGTCGGTTTTTTTTAGTACTCTGTACTGAGGTTATAAAACATTCTGGGGCCTTACTATGAACTTTACTAAAACTATTCATTAACCTTGCTTTCGACCTGGTGTCGTATGATGTGCTGTGGGGCAAGCTTCGAAATAGAGATGTGCCAGCGGAGTTGTTACGTATATTTCAATACTGGTATCATAATCAAGTGAACTACGCGAGGTGGGCTTATAAGCTCTCAGACTCGTTCAAATTAGAGTGTGGAGTGAGGCAGGGGGTCTGACCTCACCAAAGCTTTTTAACATATACGTTAACGACTTGATCGTTGAGCTCAGCAGCATGAGGGTCGGCTGTTGCGTGGATGACGTCAGCGTCTAGAACATCAGTTACGCGGACGACATGGTGCTGCTGAGTCCAACGGTTAGAGCGCTTAGAAGTTTACTACAGGTTTGTGAGCGTTATGCACTTTCACATGGTCTCCTGTATAACGTTAAAAAAAGCGAGTTTCTGGTGTTTAGGGCCGTCGGTGGCAAGTGTCCATCTCATGTACCCAAAATTACACTCAACGGTGCAGAACTTAAGCGGGTTAACCAATTTAAATATCTCGGGCATTTTGTAACTGATGATCTTAAGGACGACGTAGACATTGAGAGGGAACGCAGGGCGCTGAGTCCGCTGTAATATGTTGGCCCGCAGATTTGCGCGCTGTAGTATCCCTGTAAAACTAACATTGTTTAGAGCCTACTGTCAGGTGTTCTACACGTGCGCCCTGTGGATCAGCCACACGCAGCGGACTCTCGGCGCGCTGCGGATTCAGTACAACAATGCCTTTAGGGTGTGGCTGGGGCTGCCCCGATTCTGCAGCGCGTCAGGCATGTTTGCGCAGGCTAATATAGATGATTTTAATGCCATCATGCGAAAGAAAACGGCCTCGCTGCTCTGCAGACTACGGGGTAGTTCCAATTCCATCCTAAGGGTAATAGCAGAGCGACATGATTCCCCGATCATAGCACATTGTGTAGACAGATGCATCTCGCACACGAAAATAGTGACTAAGTAAGTAGTAGTAATTGTAATGGTAGTTGTAATGTAATGAATTTCTCTATGACATGTGATTTCAAAATTTTAGTTTTGTTCGTGTTAATTATTATTATACTAGCTAATTTGAATTTTAATTGTTATTTTATTAATTGTAAATTTTAGTATTTTATATTTAAAATTTTTACTTTCGACTAAATTATCATTATTATTTCAGTGACTTTTATGTTATGTATTTTGAATGTTTTGACATTTCGATTTGAAAAATTTTAATGTATAAATAAATTCACCGTACAGTCATTTGTTACTAATATAGTATAAGTTTGATTACTAACAAACTATGGACCTATGGTGCCTGAAAATAAAAGATTTTTATTTTTATTTTTTTTATTTATTTATTAACGAAGCAGTTCAATTTAGGATCCTAAATTGAACCATTAAAATTCGTACCATGAGCTAATTAAAACTGATTCGCTTTTGAAACGCTAAGCCGCAAATGAATGACCGATATTTGTCTCCGGTACGCTACCATTTCGTATTGTGACATTTTTAAATGTAAGGTTCTTTATTTAGATATGTGTATATTTAGCCAGACATGTTTTTTTAGAATAGTTTAAAGGACTATGCACACACATCAGGGCCGTGCCCGGGACGTGGCCGGGGCGTGCTAGTTTGTATGAACTGCGGGCCCGTCCAGGCACCGGCCCGGACACGGACATGTGTGAACGAGTTCATACAAAATATAGATTTAGATTTAGATTTATTTTATTATCTTGTAAACTTTACATTATTATATACAATATATTGTATTACAAGAATCGTTACAAATAGTAATAAATGTTACATTTCAAAAAATTACAAATATCCAGTACAAGTTTTGTACTACGTAATTATATAATAAATAATAAATAAGTTTATTAATGTCCTCTGTAATGAAGTTTGCCTAAAACTAAAAGAACAACGTAAGAATCAATATACCACACTTTTATTTATTTTATTTTTTTCAGTGGGTGCTAACCGTCGAGGTACGACCCTCAGTCGTCCGGTGGAGCGGGTGTTATAACGGCTTTCATGCCTTTCAAAGTTGTGTAAGTTTTTTCTTATGAATGTGATTATTCCATATAAATACAACGAATACATGGTCATTATCCTGTGTCTCACAAATAAGTCCCTACAAGAGACTCTTCGTGTTACTCCGTCAAGTATCCTCATTGCTCGTTTCTGAATATGAATACCCTGTCAGAATCAGTGGAGTCACCCCATAGAATGGTACCATACGACATTATGGAGTGGAAATATGCAAAATATACGCAACGATATGTTTTTAGCCCCTGAGGGAGCACGGCAAGTCCACGTCCCGGGCACGGCCCGGATATGTGTGGATAGACCATTATAGGTACTGCAATAAAACATTAAAAAAAACTTATAAATGTCATTACTAAGTGAAACAATTAAAGAACACACGCTTCACGCCTTCTCCATCAATACAATAATACAATACAAATACGGTGAAAAAATAATAATAATAATATCTACCCTAATAAATGAATGAAAATTTATTAAAAAAAGTTAATTAAAAGTAAACAAAACTGATAACTATTTTTCATACTAAAAAGAAGACATCTCTTATTAGCTTGTGCTAGAAGATCAATAAAGTTTATTAATGTCCTCTGTAATGAAGTTTGCCGAAAACTAAAAGAACAACGTAAGAATCAATATACCACACTTTTAGGTTATTGTTTACATTGAATGGATCTTAGATTTGTTATCATCTCACATTTACGTATACATAACTTATTCATCTTTTCAGTGTTCGGAGTACAACTGTTCAATTAAAGGTTTTAGTGGATTATATGGCGACAAACTCACAGGACCACTTCGGCCCAACAATTGGAAAAAGCATAGATTGCCCTCACTTCTAAATTAGAAAACCATGATCCTAAGAACTAAAATAATCGAAACATGTGAGTACCGGTTTCATGATTTGAATCCAAAAGTAGAGGGTCATAGCTACCTGTTCTTGTAGTATATATTATTTTGAGTTTCAGACTTACAGGGACTTCTAAAAGAAGGCAAAGCAGGAAGATAGGAAAGTGAGCTTTGAATTTGCAGACTTTATAATTATCTATACTATAAGCAATTGCAGACAAACTGAAGATGTTTGTAATTACTCATAGATAGGGTGATAACCTTTATTAGGGTTTCCAATAGGTGTTAACTGAAATAACGAACATTTCTAATTAAAATACATATTTATTAAATGTTTCTTTTTATAATAACAAATTCTTACATTCCGAGTGGTTTCAAGTTGAGATTGAGAGATTGTTGAGAAGTATCTTCATCACATTTATTCTCCTCCTCTTCAAAGACACTGAAACACAAAAAGGGTTTGTGAAGATTCTATTAAGAATATCATTTCCATGTAATATTAAGAAGTAAACTATGGTGTTTACTGACCTAAAATTTGCTCAGTATTTAGATAAAATTATTTTGTTCTATGTTTTCTCAGCACAAAATAAAGGTCTCATCATCCGATGTACCCGTTCATAACCAGAGTCGTCTGGAATAATTATGCAAAATTTATAAATATAAATTACTAATACGTAGTTGAACTTTTATTAATATAGTTTTTTTTTGTTTCAGATCAGTTGTAATAATTTGTCATGAATTTGAGTTAAGTCATAAGTATATTTGGATCGCGACCAGCCCAGCAAAGTGATGTGATATGTGTTTTATCAACAAATAGGTTCACCCATACCAGTTTAGGAACCTGTGATCTATGTACTTAACGAAATTGACATTGATAGTGTATTTAAAATATTATAAGATATGTACGCTTGTGAGTCATGTAATGAAACAATTTTAAATAATTAGAAATAAATACAGATGCATGTAAGAGAGTACAAGTTATTTCTAATCTGTGTTATGATTAATTTAATGTGATTGATTCGTGATAATATGATAAATATAAAATGTAGGTACATACCTAAGTATTAATATTCCTAAACTCAAGTTTACTAAATATTTGAAATATTTGTTTTTGTATTCTTGTACTATTTGTTTTGTTTCATACATACCTAGAAGATAAAATGCCCCAGAATTATTATGCAGGCAGCTTAGTTATTTCCTTACAAATATCCTATTTCCCATACTTGTCAGACTAACCTCCTCCTTTTCTCACCATCCATAGATGACCACAGTGTAGCCCTCTGCGAGAGCAGAGGACATTATTGATATTGGAGTAACATTTCTTTATTTACTTGCACATCCTGATGATGGTGTATGTTATAACGATCTTCTTATCTTTCCTTCAGTTAAAACCTTTACAATTTTGTCGTGCAACAATGTACCAAGCAGTCACATACACTCGTTTAGATTTTCCAGATGAAATGTAATTGGATGTAAATTCCATGTGTGGCTCCACCATAGCTTGCATCTATATAGTGATATTCATATCAGCTTTACATAGGTATCTGAAATTAATTACTTATGAAATAACAAGTTTTGACTTTAGGTTACTTTTTATCAAGTCCATAATAATCTTACTAACTGGACACATAAAGAGTGAAACTGCTTGCAACTGTAATATCTTTTTTTCATTGTCAGTGAACCCAGCAATTACTATGTGGGTGCCATCAATGCAACCCAATATGCTAGGGATCTTGAATTTCTGATATAACCTAAAAAAATGTAATTACTTAATATGGGAAATATTTTGGATAACACAACACGAGGTCGTAAGTATTTAAAAGCAGGTTAAATGTAAAAAAAACTTACCTAGATCTTATCTTATTTCTTTCCTCAAGATTGTTTGGAAATCGTATATTTTCTTATTTCTTTATGATTGATACATCCCGTGATTTCACTTAAGGCCCATTTAGATGGAGAGAGTTTCTCTTCTCGAAGATACGATTATCAAAAGTATATAAAAAAGTTTCCTCGTCTAAACATTCGCGATTATCGCCCTTCCACGTGAGCGATAATCGCCTCGCCTTTGTTTATTGAACGTCTCCGTGTAAACAGAACTTGAAAGCAAAAATCGTATTTCGAGTTTTTGTGCCAGCCGTTTCTACCCTTTCTATCATGAGTGCAGTGTGCGAAGGTGTTTTGATTATCACTGCTTTTCTAAGACAAGAATAGGAAACGAAAAGGGAAAAAAAATGGATTAGCAAATGTTATAAAATTAAAAAAAAAAATTTAAAAAAAATGTATATTTCTATACAGTGCAATGAACTTAATACTATCCGCAGTTCCGAATTTGTATGATTTTTGCGTCATTTTGATATATTCATTGTCAATACCGAAGTAATCACAGAACTCGAATGGCAATTCTCGCAATCAAAACGGTTCGAACCGATTTGTACGATAATCGTATGAACTTGAAA